TAGCTGTGCCTTTTTGGAAATTAATGAAAGCTATCATTACATTTTCATTTTCGCAGTTCTTAGTAATTAATTTACTGTAAAATGACTATGTAATGAAATAGCTAATTATGAACTAAAATAAAATGAAAAGAATACAAACGACGGCATATGAGCTTAACTTTATGGCATCTGTAGCGGTAAGCAAAACTCTTTGCGCCGGGTATAGGCTACGGCGGTTGCGATGGTAACCGGGTTGTTGATGTGAGAATAACGTCAGGTAGTAAAATAGGAGATTTTACAAGATATTATATTTTATTCAAAAGTGACTACGTGAGTTTCCATATTAAGCCACGTACCCTTTATTGGTGACCCCGATTTNTATTGTTTTCAATGTAAATTGTAAAATAAGGCATTATTTAAAGTCAATCTTTGATTTCAAAGCACGTCGTCGAGTTGACAAAGTTGGACTGAAATGTTTTGATACATTTAATTTATTACCCAACTGCGTCAGAAGGAGGGTTATGTTTTTTATATTATTCTTACTTAATAGATGCTTTTTCGGGATTTTCAGGTACAAATTGGTGCAGATGAATGAAGAAAATGTTATGACCATGTAAAGAAAATTGAAAAAGATTTCATCAAGCAAGATTGAATAATGGAGAAGTTTCCATTTTTTTTTCTTTTAATAAAACTTGAAAGTATAAATGCAAGTGGAGTTCTTAGAATCGTTTCCTAGTTCTGAATGAAGTGATAAGTTATAAGCATGATACATAATCAAATTAGTTACATAAAGTAATATACGATTTACTTATTTTTCAAGACATTTTCCTGTGTTAAAAACCCGATGTATAACAACATTTTTCTTACACATAGGTACCTAAAATGTGTATTCGTACTTCATATAAATAATAAATAATAATAAATAAATAAAGACCCGTGTCTTACTATTTTATTCGTACTTCATGTTCATTAATATTAAAGTCATAAAAGTAAAAAAATATTATCAGTATCAAGATCGTTTAGTCCAATTTCCCCAGTATTGCTCTCAACAAAGTTTATTTTCCCTATTTGCCATGAGATTCTGGTACACCTATATTACTTTTCTCTATGATATTATTGATATTAGTTATTGTTCTGTGATTGTTCCGAGCCATGAAGCTACAGATAAAAATGGAGGGCAGAGTTGGAACAAAAACTTGAGTCAAATACCTACTTATATCTANCCCCCAATGATTTACATATCGCCCGGTTGGAAGCGGCCTGCATCCAGCGCCTTCCTGCTACCTTTATGATGTCGTCGGTCCACCTTGTTGACGTCCAAAGCTGCGTTTTCCGGTACGTGGCCTCCACTCCAGAAGCTTGCTGCCCCTTTTCTTTCGTCACCCTAAATGAATCCTCTTTTGTTGCAGGTGTAGGATGAGTTTGCGACGGTGGTAGAGGGCAGGAGGGCGGCCGGATGTGGCCCCCGCGCGCCCGTCCGCCCGCCGCCTCCGTCACCTAGCGCGCTCGCCGCGCTGCGACTATGCGCATGGTCAGCGCCCTGCCCACTCTGCTCGCGGTGAGTCCCGTGTCCCCNTTTTCTCAACGACTAAACAAGTTTGACTAGACCTTGTGATACGACCGAGAATCTTTTTTTAAATAAATAAATGGTATACGATTTTTAAAACCCTGGAGTTTGCAATTAAATAGATTTTAATATGACTGGAACAGTGGAAATATTCCATTCCCGATACTTTTAGTGCAGCCCTCGTATGCGCATGGTCGGCGCCCTGCCCACTCATGCTCGCGGTGAGTCCCGTGTCCCCCTCATGACCCCGTGTCCCCCGGTACCCTGGCATCACTCTGAGGGCGGCTAGATATGGCCCCCGCGCCCATCCGCCCGCCGCCTCCGTCACCTAACGCGCTCGCCGCGCTGCGACTATGCGCATGGTCAGCGCCCTGCCCACTCTGCTTGCGGTGAGTCCCGTGTCCTCCTCGTGACTCTGTGTCCCTCTTGTGAGCCTGGATCCCTCTCGTAATCCTGTATTCCCCCGCCGCTACCGTCACCTAGCGCGCTCGCCGCGCTGCGACTATGCGCATGGTCAGCGCCCTGCCCACTCTGTTTGCGTGTCCCCCTCGTGACCCTGTGTCCCCCTTATGACCCAGTGTCCCCCTCATGACCATGTGTACCTCTCATGAGTCCGAGTTCCCTTCGACACCCCGTATCTCCCTCGTGATCCCATGTCCTCCTCGTTACCCCGTGTCCCCTTCTTAATTGTACTCAAATTCATCATCATTTGTACACAACAGGTCACAGCGACCAGTCAGGAATTTATATCCATCTTTGTTAAAAATTATTTCTAAATCAAATAGACTTTTATTCGTAGCTATCAGACTTTACTCGTACTCTAGCGTGTTACTGACTTATAACTAAAAATAATTATATTCTTATTATCAAATTCTTATCCCCGTCTTGAATTCTTAGACTTAGTTGCAATATCATTACGTACAAAAGCTCTGACCAGCTCATTTCAAAACAGCAAGTAGCGGTTCTCGTGACTATCTCGACATTATTCAAATTATTTGCACTAAACCTCGCAAGGTNACCCCTCGTGACCCCGTGTCCCTCCGGTACCCTCGCATCCCTTTGATGGCAGCTGGATGTTGCCCCTGCGCCCGTGCGCCCTGATCACTCTGCTCGCGGTGAGTCCCTTGTTCCCCTAGTGGCCCCGTTCCCTCTAGTGGCCCCGTGTCCCCCTCATAACCCTGGGTCCCTCTTGTGAGTCCGTGTGCTTTTCGTAATCCTTTATCCCCTGGTACCCTCTGTCCCCTGGTACTCTCTGTCCCTGGTACCCTCTGTCTCCTGGTACCCTCTGTCCCCTGGTACCCTCTGTCACCTAGCGCGCTCGCCACGCTGCGACTATGCGCATGGTCAGCGCCCTGCCCACTGCCCACTCTGCTCGCGGTGAGTCCCGTATCCCCCTTTTGACCCCGTGTTCCCCGGTACCCTCGCATCCCTCTGAGGGCAGCTGGATGTGGCCCCCTCGCGCCCGTCCACCCGTCGCCTACGTCACCTAGCGCGCTCGCCGCGCTGCGACTATGCGCATGGTCAGCGCCCTGCCCACTCTGCTCACGGTGAGTCCCGTGTCCCCCTCGTGACCCTGTGTCCCCCTCAAATCAAATCATTTATTGCATTACATGAATGTGTGGTTTGACAGTTGGTAAATGGTAGGGTAGTACATCACATTCACCCTGTAAGGGCATAGCTAGTATTAAGTATAATAAACATAAAGGTATATTTTGCTGAATGACCCCGTGTCCCCCTCATGACCCCGTGTCCTCCTCGTGACCCCTTGTCCACATTGTGACCTCGTGTCCCCTTTGTAGTACTGTATCCCCCTCGTGTCCCTCGAGAGTGCTCGCCGCGCTACAACCATATGGGGATAGTCTGCAGCGTCCTGTAGCGTATGTTAACAAAACGCATTTACATAAGATCAACGGACACCCCGTTCCATTACCTAATCTACTCTGGGTCTAGTTTAGTCGAAAATTTTCATCAATCAAATCGATTTTTGTACTCAAATGCATTTACTTCAGTATTATAATTGCTTTTATTTTGATCAGTTAAATGCGCAAAAGCACAGTAATGCAAACCAGGTAAGAATTTATATGCATACTTGTTATTATTTATTTCTAAATCATATTCTACTGTAGCGTATTATTTATAACTAAACATAATTCTATTCTTAATATCAAATTCTTACCCCCTTCCTTGAATTCAGACTTAGTTGCAATATCATTACGTACAAAAGCTCTGACCAGCTCATTTCAAAACAGCAAGTAGCGGTTCTCGTGACTATCTCGACATTATTCAAATGTTTAGGACTAAACTTCGCAAGGTAGAGCTAAATCAAGCAATTTCCTCGTGGAGAGACAGAATGCAAGCTATTCGCCAATTACTGGGCTCTTGAACATCTCATGACGCGCCTTTGTACAAGATTTCGATAAAGTTATAGTCTAGTCTAAGAGCTAGGAGTCTAAACTGTAAACTTACTTATGTTAAGTTCAATCTGTGATTTTCAGTTTAACAGCATGCTGCAAATGGCGCAGTGGTTTGTGGATAAGTAATTTCATTACTGTAAGTTCCTTAAGAAAATAAGCATCTTCTAAATAAGAAATTATCAAAAAGGTAATCTCTCGTTGTAGAGCGTGCTTAAAAGTCATTTTGTTTTCTGCAAATTATAGACTTATAAAGCTTTACATGTCCCAGCATAACTTATATTTTTTGTATAAGTAAAATTACAGTATTTTTTGTGTTACAGAAGCAATAAATGTTTATTTTATTATTATTATTTTAACCCAGTGGGCCTATGCTGAGAAGTGAGTCAGTCATAATTACGCATTTATAACATTTTCCTAGCCATTTTACTTTTCTATACAAAAAAATTCTTTGCATCCTATCCCCGAGCCTGTATCTGGAAATAGCAAGTAAACGTCCAATTAAAGCATGAATTCGAGTGTAATAGGTTATCGTTCAGTATAATTACCTGTCAATACTGTCTACTTAGTAAACGTAGGCATAGTTGCGGAAAATGACCACAAAATATATGACCCTTAATGACTAATTTAATATAGATGACATGATAATTGAGTTTTTTTGCAATGGTATAATTAATTTCATTGTTTTGATTATTATTGCACCACGTGAACTAACAATATTAGTAGTATAGATGGGAGAAGGCTAATTGGCTAAAAGACTGGATTTTGTATCATTATCCATGAAAATTAGTTTAAAATTTTTCGTTATTGATCATTTACCTTCCTAATTACCTATTTTTTATGTATTTGCTAACGCGAGTGTCTAAGAGCTAAACAATCAAGCACCTACATCCTTCTTCAGGCGCCTATTACATTTTTCACACTTTTATCAGCACCGTATCGGATGCTTCCAAATAAATCCGATTCTCAATCTCCCTTAGGTTCCAACACTTATCGGCCAAACCGGCATTCCGAGCAAGTGCCTGATCAGATCATTACTGGGGCTGCCGACCGCATCGCGGCAGTCCGCCACGCACCTTCGACACCACTAGTCGCCTACAGAAAAAAACAACTGTCACCGCGCGACGGAAAAGCGCGCGAAAACATGCAAACTCTTTACGCGTAAAAAGTTTTTCGTGCCGCCAATTTTCGCAACCACAGACCAAACAGTGACATGTTCAGCAATTTAATGTGTATTACAAGTAATTTATAGTGCTGTTGTGATTCAATTCAAAAGTGGTTCAAACGATTTCAAATGAACGGCAGTTTTGACCTCAAATTTTATGTATGATTTATTCAAGTCCTTCGACAAACATATTTTTGCTCATGGCAATTAGAATGGTAAGTGGATCAATTTTATGTATGTTCTGTGGAAAACTGACATGTGTCCACATGACGTCCGTTGGATATTCAAATTAAGAACGTTTTAATTAAATGTTAATTAAATTGCTTCATCTATTTAAGAGCCGGTTATCTAATCACATTTTAGTTAACAGTTTTCTAGTAAAAATTAAAATGACGTAACACTGCAGACGGCATCTTTGACAGACAGATTTCTATTAAGACCGCTCAAATTAAAAAGCAATAAAGTGCTACTCATAATCTTAATACGTTATCCATTATGAGACTGATATGAGTCCAAAGTGTATGATATCAAAAATACTTTTTCCTTTGAAAAACAAGAACAACTAGTAGTACCTACATCGTTTAGTATATTTTCTAAACAATTTTATTTCTAGTTCGCATAAAAATCTATGTAATTTCATGTGACTGCAATATGCATGCGTATTGCTGGCTAAAAAAAACCTTACATAAAAAGAAAAAAACCTATATTTGCATTATATGACAATGCTTTATGCCAAATTTCAAGATTCTGAGTTTACGGGAAGTATCCTGTAGGTTTTGATTCCTTTGCGAGTGTCGAAAATTTGTTGAAAATATCGACATAATCGGCTGTATCTTTTGATTGGCTTGGCTTAGAAGTTTGATATTTTCACAACTTAAAGGGACAATAGACCTGAGTATTTCATGTGAATTTCAGCTTGATACGTTCACGCGTTCTTGAGATAAAGGGTCTTGACAGAAGGACGGACGGACAACAAAGTGATCCTATAAGGGTTCCGTTTTTTCCTTTTGAGGTACGGAACCCTAAAAAACGTTTTAGGAACAGTTTGTTAGTTTGACAGTCATTTGTTTAGTTCTCAGGTGTATCGAGAGACAAATTCTGTACTTTTTCATAACTTTTTCTTCTTTTAATGGCTTGCGTATAAAAATGCAACGTAGCCAGTGACATGCATTTCATAAACTTATTGACACCAATGAAGTTATTCAGCTTACGGTCGTCATGTCGACCGTCATAAAAATGTACGTATCAATAATAATCGCTCGGTTCAAACATAAATATTAAAGGGTAATTTTATCCAGTGCGCGTACGGCCAATAAAAACTTTATGTGTGAATGTATGAATGACCAATAAAGCGCGGGGAGTGCTCAGTTAACGCGGGCGTTAAACATTACCTTCATTTTCGCGGTCGGGTGAACGCGGAAGCTGTGAGAGCCATTTTGTTTTAGTGTTACTTGGGCACTCGGGTTTTCTCGGGCTATTTCAGGCTTGGCTTAATTTACCTAGTGACTTATAGGTTGTATTGTATACTGAATAAGTAGGTGGTGCATGGGAGGAAAATACGGAACGGAGTGTAGAGTTCCAGGATTTCACTGTTTCCAGAATGTTACTAGGTAATTTAATTTTGATTTAGAACTTACCCAAAATTGGCGATGATATAAGTATTACAATAAATCGTAACCGATCTCATTAGAATAAAGAAATAAAGAACTAAGCTCAAACTTTGATTGGTTGAACTCAATATTTACACCAATGACAGTGCAGAATCTATGATTGAAATTGAATTGAGTTTTGAGCGTTGTTTTGTAAGGTTTAGAACCTTTCATTAGGCTCCATTCATCAGCATCATCATCATTTCAGCCATACATAGGATGTCCACTGCTGAACATAGGCCTCCCCCAATGAAAATGATTTCCACAATGGCCGGTTGGTGGCGGCCTGCATCCAGCGCCTTCCTGCTACCTTTATGAGGTCTTCCACCACCTTGTGCTCCATTGAACTGGGAAAAACATATCTGCATGTTAAATCTAATATACTGAATGGAAAGCCCAGTAAACAATACAACTTTTACGACCCTTATGTTACCATCAGTATAATATCGATAACAGTAAAGTGCATGTATGTGTGTACGTAATAATGCACATAATATCTTATCGAAGGAATTGTGTAATAAGGTAGCCGAAGAAAGTGGAATAGAGTCGGATTTCACACTTTGAGATCTAAAGTTACGAGCCTTCTTAGGCTAGTGTTAGAACTCATGTTCTAACACTAGCTTAAGAAGGCCCGTTTCGACCAAACTTTTATCCGAGAATAACTCATGGTATAACTGACACATTAACAGCTTCAGTGTGGGAAACATGTCAAAACTAACAATTATTCTGAGATTAATATTTACTCTGGTCGAATCCACCTATAGTTATCTATGACTGAGTAAATCATTTGCAATTAAAATTGCATTATCTTTCTAAATCGATTTTCTTCTATCGAGTGACAAAATATAGGCCATAGGGTTCATAATACTATGCGTTTGATTTAAGTCCGCGATATCTAACTAAATTAATAAACTAACTTCAACCAGGTGCAACTTGGAAATCGAACCCAAACCTGAAAGTTGAGAGAATCGAATTGTAATTTTTTTCAAGTTAATTATTTGTAATTAGGAAGTACTCGTAATTATGCAGGTAATTTAATTTCGTTTTTTAATGAAAAATGATTGTTTAGGATTTATATTGCCTACAATAAAACTTCGTAATCATGTTGGTATAGCCAAGGCTTGGCTACCAAGCCTTTTAATGCATAAATCTATAAATTTTTCAAACATTTACATGACCTATTGACAATACATAAAATATCCAGTATTGCAAATCAAAACCTTGAAGCAAAGTTTGAAAAAAATTAACGGTTGAGTCATGTAAATACCTATCTCCTAAGAGTAGGTCCTGTATCATTAGTTAGGTAGAGACTAACAAACTCTACAGGGTGGAAACGATAATAGTGATCTCATTCGATTATTTCTAAACTATACAAGATATCGAAAAACTGGTTACTGATCCTGAAAGCGCTTCACGAGCTGAAGTACGAAAGGTGCAATAAATAATATGTTACAGAATAATCTGGATTTATCTGAAAATTCAATGTTTCCATCTTCCATACATTTGGTAAAGCCACATAATATTAAAAACTACACATGATGACACTTTCAGGACCAGTTTTTCGATATCTTGTATAGTTTAGAAATAATCGAGGGACATCACTTATCGTTTCCACCCTGTGTATTAGTGGTATACAAAACTGACACAGTCATTACTTAATCCATTTCTGGATTATTTTTCTTAATAGATTTCAGCCCTAAAAGCCGTTAGCAAGACACGTGGTTAGACAATCTTGACCGCGAAATCCTGGCAGCACATGATTAGCGCAAAGGATGCAAACTAGATGTTACTAGTATGCTCTACGCTAAACTGTGGTTAGGAGTCATTGCCAATGACGAATGTAGTTCAAAAGGTCACTAACGGTAATATTTAAGACACGCTAAGTACTTGAGGGACAAGAAATTTATAGATGACATAATTTAGCTTTATTGTAAACGTGAAATTATAATCAAATAATTAATTAATTGTAGAGCATAAGTATACAACACTATATTTTTCATTATTTTACGGTGCAAATCACCAATATTAAAAGTATGTCTTGAATCAAGTTTAAAACGTATACTATTGTTCTTTATTCTAGGTCTGTTCTGGGCCTAAGTTTAATTCAGGTTTCAGGCGACTTACAAAATTAGAATTGTTTTAGTGTTCCATTGTAAGGACTAAAATCTGTTATATTATTAGCTGGTTTGAAGGACATAAAGAGTCAGTCCAATGCAATGCAACTGTGTCAAACCCCTAAATTTTATGGAGCAGAATCTGATGCAGCCTCAAGCACAAGGGGAGAAAGCACAAACTAAATTACCTACACAGGCGCTAAAGACTCTAGAACTTAGCACGAGCTATTGCAGTTACATTACCAAATTACATCCATATCTATACCATCAATCTAAGATTGTATTTCCATGTTTTGCTTTATTGACCATAAATTAAGATAAGCAATACTGAATTGTAAGTTTGTACTTTTCCAAAATATTTCATTTTAGCTTTTATTGTTGATAAACTGAGATATTCAATGTGACCAGCCTGATAAGCTATTATAGCACAATTTGTTTGAAGATAGTAGAAATATTTGCGATAATTCTTTATCTGTAGCATGTGATTTTATGACAGATATTATAAGTGAGACACACCCGCATAATAATGATGTTATAAACGTCATGATAGAGAAAGAATTCGAATTTAATCAGTAGGTACTCAAGTCGCGGTTATTCCCAAGGTGGAAATTAACTAAATTAATTAATTTTCAAACGCTATAGTAAACGTATCAATCAACTTAAAAAAAGCTTGAAAATTATAAATAACTTGAAAAAATCGAACTGCCTAAGGCGGGAATTGAACCCACGACCTTCCGCTTGCCGGGCGACTGCTCTTCCAACTGAGCTACTTAGACACTGGATGAACCCGTCGAAATTTTCAAGTGTAATACGCTGTTACGGCCAGCGTTTAAAATTAGTTTGAGATGCGACTCTTAACGCTAAAAATTAAATAACTATTAAAAAAAGCTTGTCGATAACTATATAGATACCTATTACGTAGGAAAACCAGAGTGAACTGGTTAACAGATTTAAATTGAAATGTAAAATAATGATCCCTTTCAGTATTTCGTGTTACAACATTTTTTGCTTATACAACATCTATGTATAGAATAAACCCAAAAGCATCTTATCTAGAAAATTAGTCTAGTGAAATAAACGCATGTTAATGATTGAAAGCCCAAAATATAGCACGTAGAAGATATAGCAAAGCCATTTAATTTACAATAACAGATATAAAACAAAACTATCGCCATCATTTATAATCTATTGCTCACATATTTATAACAAGCTTTTTCCCGCAGCTTCACCCGCGTGAAATTTAGTTTGTCACAGATCGTCATAAATTATATCGTATTATGTTAATCTAGGTTATAATATTGTAAAGTTTCAGCAAAATCCGTTCAGTAGTTTCTGCGTGAAAGAGTAACAAACATCCAGACATCCATACAAACTTTCGCATTTATAATATTAGTAGAATGTGAAAAATAGATTTTCCTTTCAATAGGTAGGTAATGATATGTAGACAGACAA